TCATCTTCTTGTTTGGGCTCCAATCTCCATCTCTCCATCTTGTCATCTATTGGAGAAGTTTTCTAAACTCTATCTAGCTTTACATTTGCTTAGTTATTTGATTATCATTTTTAAAGCTAGTTTTTATATTGAGTTTAGATTTGATTATATTATCTCATTGTTACACACACCCACTTGAGCTTATTGTATTTGCATACATAGTATATTAGGGTTGTGAGAGATTGTAACATTGAGTTGTGCTTAATTGTGTTCTCATCTATTGTAGAGAACAAATTTATATTTGTTACATTGTGAGTGGTGTAAGGTTTTCAGTGAGCTAGAAAACCGAGTGTGTTGTGGAGTTTTCGGTGAACTATAAAACTGAGTGTGAGGAGTGAACGTTGATCGGTGAGCGTTGAAAACCGACATTGTGAGGTGTAAACGTTATTCGGGTGAGCGTAGAAAACACGGTTGTGATAGTGGATTTCTCCCCGGGAGAGGGGAGCGGAGACGTAAGACGGAAGGTCCGAACACCGTGATCATATTGCTTGTTTGAGTTTGTCTTTGGCGTATTTGATTTTGCATTTATCTTATATCGTCATTTGTGCATTACTCATTTATTTCATCCACTATCTTGTTTAGATTATTGTTTCCCCTTGTGTTAGTTTATATATATCATTGCATATATTTCATCATATAGGATATATCTCATTGTTCATATTGCTTATCCTAGCTTATATTTTTGTTGTATTTCATACTTGCTAGGATAACTTGTTAATTAATTTTAATTGGCATAAAATCGGATTAGATTAGCATAAGATCCTAATCACCCCCCCTCTAGGGTCTAATCGATCCGACTCGGGCCCACCTCGGTCAGAGTGAGCCAGACCTATTTCTCTGATCTAGATCTGAGGTTAGACCCGACCCGGCCCATGGGTTTTTCAACTTTTTCTAATTTTTTATTTTTAATTTCTAAACTATATTAACTTTGCATTAGTATCTATTAGATTATATTTAAATTATTTTTCTATTTTAATCTTTATTTAAAATGATACATACACACACATATTATATAAAGATAAACATCACACAGAAAAACATCGCAAATACAAAGATATGTAGTTCGGACTTCAAAGAATGACCTACGTCCACAGAATATTAATAATTTTCCTTTAGTTTAAATTTAAATTATAAATACAAGAGGAAAAAAGAAAAAAATGTTAACTAAAAACTAAAAACTAATAATTTAAAATTAGGATCGGGTCGAGCTAGGCCAGGTCGATGGTGAGCCGAGTTAATGGTGGACCGGACCTATTTCTCTAGTCCCAATTCTAGGGCTGGACCTAACCCAACCCGTGACCCGTGTATATCATGAGCCAAGTTGGGTCTGACCCACTACGGGCCGAGCCGGATCATAACCCATGACGGGCTAGGCCTGGTCAGCCCACAAGTCGAACCAGCCAACGCCCAACCCTAGGCAAGCTGTTAATCATATCATACTCCTTTTAAAAGCACGACTTCGGGAAAATCTTTCTATGGTCAATATTACCCTTAGATTTTTTTTGAATATTACATTGTTATCCTAATTTATTCTTATTATCATATCTTCTTTGAATTGGTAACTAAATTATTTATTCTATTCATAATGAGACTTAACATGTTATTGGATAAAAGAAATATATTTCATATAATTCAAATAATTTACTTATTTCAGTTCATAGAAAAATCTAAAAAACATATGCTAGCTAGCACCTAAAAGTTTTTAGACTTTGTAAAAAATATTCTTCAAGTTTTTTAAAATTGCAAAAACACCCCTATAAATTTAAATTTTTATTAAAACATCTTAAAAATTATAAATTTTTACTTATTTTAATTCAGTGAGAAATTTAAAAAACATATGTTAGCTAGAAACTGAAAGTTTTTTGACTTTGGAGAGAATATCTTATAAGTTTAAAAAATTACAAAAATACCCCTACAAATTCAAAATTTATAAAAAACACCTTAAAAATTTTAAACCTATAAACACACTAAAAACCTACAAATAACACAAATAACCCACGAAAATTTATGGAATTTCCAATACGCACTCTGAACTTTTTACAAATTGCAAATAAAACCTTAAAAATTATAAAAATCCTAATAATTTCTAACCTAATAGTACATTGAAAATATAGGAATTAAAAATATCATCTATATAATTTATAATTTATAGAAAACACCCTTAAAGTTTTGAAAATTATAAACAAACCTTTAAATTTTAAATTTACAAAAAACACCCCGAGAATTTCAAATTAATTAGTAAATTGAAAGCATAGGAATTATAAATTGTCTATAAATAATTTACAATCTGTAGAAAAGGCCTATAAGTTTAAAAAATTCCAAAAAACCCCTAAACTTTATAATTTATAAAAAACATCATGAGAATTTCTAACATGTAGATACTAAAATGAATATGCAAAATTCTTAACAATCACTAGAAAATTAATTTTTTGTAAAAAATATCATACACCTTTTAAAAGTATAGGTTTAGAAAAAAACTTTTCATAGTCAATATTACACATAACGTTTTTGAAAAGGACATAACTAATTGAAAATCTATTACATTTGAAATTTACAAAAAAAGCACCCTTAAAGTTTAGTACATTGTAAATTACCCCTCCAAAGTTTAATTTTTTTTAATGATTTTTGTAATTCCTTAATTTCAATGTAATATTTAATAGTTTTGTTTATTGTAAATTATAAAAGTTTAGGATATTTTTATAATTTTTAAAACTTTTAAGGGTGTTTATTTTGTAGTTTTCTAAATTTTCCTTGTTTTTTTAGTGTAATGCATTGATACGTCAATTAATGATGATATTGAAGAGTAAGTTGTTCTTAAAATTATTAGATCATAGTTAAGTGTGCACATCACTATTCTTAGGCAATATAGTTTATATATGCAAAAAAATTCAGACAATCTATATAGTGGTTAAAAAGATTTTTGATTTTAATGTACTATTTTTTATAAATTATATTTAATGTGAACCCACCATATAATTTTGACTGTGCTCATCATAAGTTTAATATGTTTGATTGATTGACTATATACGTATATAGACTATAGATTACTTTACTTTCTCACATGAGCTAATATTTGGTGCTTAATAATTTAAATAATTACTTTTAAATTTAATATAAAGAGGATCTCTAATGACATTTATTTATTTACCCACAGCATAATACAATCTCAATTCTTATTTTTTGCTTGAGATTTATTCCATAGTTACGCGTATCACATTAGTAACTAAAATAATAATTATTTATGCTTAAATTAGGATGATTGTAGTTGGTCATTCATTATGGAATTTTTATGAAGATATATACCTTACTTTCTATAGTTATCTACACTACCCATGTATATTTTATAAATTAGTTCTTAATTTGACATATGAAATTATTTTTCCTCTGTAGAAATTTCTTCTTTGATTTTTGGACTGTGTAATCACTATATCATCATTCTAGCGTAGAAAGGACCTCACTCTAAATGGCTTCAAACTAATGTTTGAGTTAAACTGAAGTATATACTATTACAACTAGGTGTATATATATATTTTTTAAAAATCATGTCAATACTTTTTAAACAGAAGAGAATATTCTAACATTTGATATTATAAAAACTAATTATAGCCAATTAAGTAATTAGCAAAAGAAACTTACATCAGAAAAGTATGAATAATTAGATAAAGAGGAAAGGCAATGCATTGCCAATAGTACTATAAATAGCAAATTATAATGTAAAGTTAACCTATTTTGTGGAGCTCAACTATTGACTATAAGAATCGAGGTTTTCATATATATATATATATATATATATATATAATTCTAACCTCAGATATTATAAAAACTAAATATAGCCAATTGAGTGATTAGCAAAAGAGAACTTACATTTGAAAAACCTGAATAATAAGATAAAGAGGAAAGGTAATGATATTAACAACAGTACTACAAATAGCAAACTGCAATGTAAAGTTACATATTTTGTGGAGCCCAACTACTAGTCATAAAGCATCGAGATTTATATATATATATATATATTATAATTTATTAAAAATGGTCATATAATCTTACATAATAAAATTGATTTAATATTGAATAATAATATCGTTGTAATAATTTCGTTATTAGGAAAAATTATTCATGAACCAATATGTTTTTTTGCGATATATAAGCTATGCACTCTAAATTCTTGTGTCTTTTATAGAGACAAAAAAATTGAATACGAGTCACCAATATGTTGCTCTCGTAATAGCAAAATCCACTTAGTAGATGTGGATATTCCAGATGAGTTATGTGTCCTATATACAATACAATTTCCCTAAGCAAGTGAGTTATAATAGCATTTTTCATCCACATCGTTTAGGGTAAGATTTGATAGGGGCCCTGCATAAAAAAATTATATTTAGAGCACATGGTGAAAATATATCATAATCTCTCTGCTCTAATTTCACATAATTTCCCTGCTCTAATTTCGCAGAAAATAATTATTCATACTTTTAGTTTTACTTTATGACACATAGAATGAGCAATAAAATTGAATGAGAATATTAGATAATATAAATATGAGCGAAAAAACAACTAAAAGTTAACGTGAATATGAGTCAAACCACAACTAAATTTTTAATGGACAATTTGCAAGTAAATTTATATGCAAAATTTATTTGTGAATTGAATGATCACCCATCTTTTAAAGATTTCAAGATACTAATAAATAGAGATGTTGTGTTAGATTAATGTGTTTATAACTCATAAATAATAAATCACGTGGCCACAATCTGGGTTGAATGAAACAATGACAATATTTTATTTGAGAGAGATTATTGAGTTGATGATCAATCTCACAAAAAAAATTATTTTTTATTTTAACTCTATTTTTATTAATTTAAATAATTATGATATCCAACCACGTACATTGCACGTGCATCTCAACTAGTATTGAACTAAAAGAAGGGGATGGAGGAGGAGAGGAACTCAAGCAGTAAAAATTACAAAACAAAACAATTTGCGAGTACTTCCGTAGCAACCTATCAGAAACATCAATGCCACAAATTTACAACTCTTTCCAAAAACAAACGTAGCTGTAACTAATGTCCTATACAATGTGAAATAAAAAAAATTAAACATCAGCTCAATGCTAGATACTTGAGCAAACCTTTTTATTAGAAAAATCAATTTTGATAAAACCCGAGAACATTTTTTTACATCTTGGTAAGCCCCCGGAAAGAATTCAATTTTTGGTGAGACCCCAACGGCATCACTTAACCTTGGTCATGGAGGGGGAAAGTTGTGCCTTATCAGGGCTTGAGGCCATCATCCTCCCAACGCTGTCCTGCAACCTCCCTGCAACAAATACTACCAATCAGAAGATAGCATATTTTAATTAGGGTTCATTGTAGATAGAACCCTGTCATACCCATCTTTTGAAATTTGAACTTACTACCCATCTGGTTTTGTTGTTGCTGATAGACCACCCCCTGAGTGAAATTTTTTGACTCTTTCACCCGCAAGGGTCTATTTGTCAAAAAACAATTATCTTTGAAGGTAAGAGTGAAAAAGAATTTTACTCAAGAAGTCTGTTTACAACAATAAAACCAGAGAAATAGCTTGTTCAAAATACCAATACAAGGGATCTATCCACAATTAACCCTTTTGACTATTATTCCTCTAGCCCGAACAACAAAATAGCCACTTCAGGCGGTTATAAACAAAAACCATTGATAAAAAAAGCAAAGTTCATGAGCCATTAAGACATCTTTGACAACTAGAAAGTAAATGAAAAATGGATCAAAATTTGGACAGTAGTCCACTTTCTATTTTGTTTCTTGTTTAGCAGTTGGAAAGTGTTCTACAAGTAAATGAAAAGTGAGGGTGTTGCATCAACTGTTTAACACCGTTTTCACTTTCTTAACATTCTTGAGAGAGTAAATGTAAAATGAATTAAGAGAAAAGAGAGATTAATATTTTATTCTCTCCACCCATGCTATCCACTTTCCACTAACCACTTCTTCTAATAATAAAACAGTTTACACGAAAAAGGTGAATGGCACATAAATTTCGACCTCGATTTTGTACCTTTTCACCTTCTATCATCTAACCAGGACCAAATAGATAGTGACGAGAAAGTATTTCTCTTCTCTACCTGTCATTCAGTATTCGAAACACCCTAATGAAACAACTATCGGAAAGCTGAAACTAAGCTGAAACTGGAATATGATAGCGAGACAAACTGGTGAAGGACTAGCAGAATGGAAGCTAGTTTCAAGAATCTTACATGGGAAAAAGATAAATAAAGCAAACAAGTTGCAACTACAGTGTTTAAAAAGAAAGGAAAAAAAAAAGAAGCAGCTTTGAGTTTACCTCGTAAACTAGTGAATTTCTTTTCCACTGGAGGAGGTTTCTTGCCAATGACGCGCATCTCTCTCGTATCAGTTGTCCTCAGTGAAGAATCAAAAAACTAAACAGAAACAAACAAAACCATGATTATATAAGGTTGAACTAATTTTCCTAACCTTATCACATAATTGCAATTTTCTGCTTTCTTTCTTCCTGAAATGCAAACCACAACCATAGAAGATTTAACCAACATTGTTAACCTTATCTGCAGTTGTGGTTGCCATCAACTTTTCTCTTCTTCTGGCTTGAATTTGCCTCACACATTCAGAAATTAAGACATGAAACTTAGGAGGAGCTTTGTTCGAAGAATTAAGGCCTGCCTTCTTCAAGGCTTGTGAAATCTGCCTCTGATTCCTCTGATAGTGCACATGGCAGAGAGATGGCACTGTAGATCTAAGAATTGGCTTCCCACATTTAGGCTGTGAACTGTGCAATACCAACAAATCAAAATTAACTGAAAAACAGCATGAATACTCAGTATAGCAAACAGTTGTTTCATAAGGGAAGAGATGATTGTATCCCTACTGACTCTTAAACACATATTTTCAGCACAAATAATAGATGAAGAATACGAGAAGAATGCCTACAGCACAAGCACAAGTTCCCTATATGATGCCCAAGACATTAGAGTTATTATTGGCCATGTTTGTAATGTCGGAGAGACTAACTGTAATTTTAGACACCTCCATGGGAAAATGTGCATGCTAAAACATAGAAACACAACACAACAGCTACCAGAAGAAGGTCTAATAAATTTGCAACTGCATCAAGACGTTTATGTAATGAAGTTGCAAGTCAATGCATACATGCAAGTTCTATTTAGTACATGCTATTGTATACTAGGAGAGCCTCTTTAAGCAAATATAGCATGAAAAATAAAGCACTAGTCTAACCTAAATGACAGGATCAAACAATTTTGGTCTTAGCAATAGCAGGGCAGAGAAATAATCATCAATCTCTGTTTTTGGAAAAACACCTAACCAATGAGAGCAGAAATGTGTTTGTCACAGTGGTGATTAGTAGAAAGCAGTTGGTTGGTAGCGCTGTGGGGTGGACAAAGGCTTTCATTGATTTTTTTTTTCCTTTTGTTTCGTCCCTTCATCTTGTGTTTCTCATGCAAACTAGGGAACGTCATTCTTGCAGTTGTTTTATAAGGGGGAAAAGGAAAGGTGAGGAAGCATGAGACCAAACTGAACCTGCTGCCTAGCTTTAGAAGATAGCAGGCAGATAGCAAATAGTATGAACAAAAGAGCATCAATAAGCCATAAGGATACCTGTTGAGACCAACAACCTTTTATATGACAATCTAAAGCCACAAACAGTAGGGTGTCATAGAGACCAAAGCAGTAGCGTATATTTACACTGAACAGAGTGATGATTAAGGAGTAAAATATGTCAAAATATAACATAAACAGATAGTGTGATACAGTGATATTAAGAGATTGTATTAAATGAACAAATTTATTAATGAGTCATGTCTCTACGACACGTAAGATAACTAACTTATACAATAAGGTTATAAATTATTAAGTAAATTAGGGGGAAAAGGAAAAAAATGTTATTGATTTTAGCATAAAAAGATAACACAAGATTAACACAAGTTTGAAAATAAACTCGAGCTAACAAAAGACCGGTATTCACTGAGAAGAAGTGACTGTTATGAAGCATAGGTAAGACCATTGTTCATTAGGGAAATATTTCAAACATAAAGCACGAACAAGGAACTTTAAAAGAAAAAAAAAACATATACTCATAAATTCTCGGTTGCTTATATTTCATAGACAAGTCCACTGAAGTCTTCATTCAATGAGTTAATCAGTATGATGCCTTGAAGAGGATTCGAACCTCCACGCTCTTTAGCACGAGATAAATCTCGCGTGGCTACCCTTTCACCATCAAGGCATCTTGAGTGTGACATGTATATACCTATGCTAGATAGTAGGTTTATTTGAAAGTTGCAAAAATTACACGATAAAGTGTGATACAATATTAAACTGGAATATCAAAAATGTTATCATGCTAAATAGTTGTCCGAGTAATGATTAAAAAAACATATCATAATGGGACATCGTGTTCCCTAAATTAATAAAGAATCTGATCCATTTGAGTGCCAATGGACAGCTGCATGCCTCTGAAAATAAGTTTGCTTATGGGGCAACTACTCTTGAAGCAAAATGATCTGCATATTAAAACCCTCTGAATCACTTGAATAAATAAAATTTACTATTTGATTTCTTTGAAAGGTTAAATTACAGTTTAGTTTTCAATTATCTCAAGTGTTAGTTGGATGAGAGCGGTATATTATTTTGTTGGGCAGCAATTCTAAAAGTGCTATATTTAAATGATAACAACTGTCAAAAAAAATAACCCCAAGTCACTCTATTTTCAACTTTAATACCCCCAAAGTCTCTCTCTCTCTCTCTCTCTCTCTCTTGGGAGGCGGGCCTAAAAAATACCCCAAAGTTTACCTCATTTTCAAGCTTGATACCCTAATTTTTTGGCCAATAAAAAAAAGTTTTTATAAAATTTAAATTTGATACCCAACTTTAACAAAATTTAAACTTTGATACCACAAATTTTAACAAAATTTTAATGAAAAAAATTAAGTTTGGGGTATCAAAGTTTAATTTCATTGAACTTTGGGATATCAAAGTTTAAGATTTTGTTTAACTTTGGGATATTTTTTGGGCAAAAAAATTTTCAGGTATCAAAGTTAAAAATGAGGTAACCTTTGCTTTTGGGGTATTTAACTTAAGTGCAAATGACCCAATCTTTAAAGACAAGTTTTAAAAGGAAAGTAGGTAACAGCTTTATGTATGGAAAGGGAAGGAAACCTTATAAGGAAAGGTAATATGGAGAAGGAACTGTGATCAATTTACACTTCAGACTTCGTATGAGAGAGGACTAGATACATCCACAGAAGACAAGATTAGGCTTTATGTACGCACCGACATGGCGGTTTTAGAAGAAATAAACATGGGCCTCGGGGATGAATTGAGGTTGTAAATGTATTAAATGGGAATTGGAATTTTTATTTTCCTGTAATCTAGAGGCTTTTGGAAGAAAACTGTATTGTGATAAGATGCACTTCTAAAATATGACAAAGGCAATACAAGTATAATTTATGTCTGCGGCATGCTCTCATGGTTTTTTTTTTCTCATTCGCTCCCTACTTTTTTTCTGTTCTTGGCTTTCTCTCCGTGGCAAATGATTGTAATACAACGAATAGATATCCAAGCACCGACTACGTCCTATTAGTCCATGAAGCTAATATGCAAAACCCAAATTTACACAATACATGAAATAACACCTAAAATGTAAGAAAGAGATATAGTACATTTAGAGCTGTAAAGTTTAAACTTTTTCTACTTTACAAAAGTAGGCACCCCATACAACCATCTAGCCAATTAGCCTTTTATCATCTCAGCATCCGGACACCTCTAGAGTCTAGACCCAGAGCAAACTTGACCCACTTATGTTTATGTACAAATTGGTTGCATGTTAAGTCAAAGTTTCTACTTCTCCAGGAGATTTTTTTAAAAAACCGCATATGCATATTTAGCTTTACCGTATAATTAACATTATTCTTCCAAGGAAATAAAAAAAAAATTCTCCAAATGAATCTTCTCATTATGCCACGTACCATGTATTTAACTATTTTTATTTCAAAAATAATAAAAATGAAATAACCATACATATAGAATTGATGCTGCGGAGACAGTATGTGAGCATGTAACCCCTCAGAATTCCCCATAAAGTAGTGGGCATTCAAACCACCTAAAAGAAGCATGAGGGAGGAAACGCATCCTAATCAGCAGCGTTTGCAAAACAATGAAGACGGGTGACTGGTTCTGAGTGTTTCTTGAAGTATTTCTTGTAAAATTTCTCTAGTTTTTATGTACGGTTTATTTGTAATCATGAGGGAGGAAACGCATCAATCCCATGTATACCAAAGGCCCAAAATTTCATATACGCTTCTTTACTAAAATCCACACGAAGTCCTACAAAAAATTGAAAACTTGGTACCTTTTCGTCGCAAACGCGCAGCCCTTGTACAGAGTCTGCTTCTTATCAGACAATATGTGCTGATGACAGTACGTCGTCAGCGGCATCGCCTTCGATTTGCACCCTGAAGTCCCACACCTTTTCCTCTCCCCCTCCTCATTCTCCTCCTCCTCCCCCTCCAAAGGGCTCTTCCCAAACTCCCAATAGTAGTCCCGATGCTTAGCCCTAATCTCCTCAATCAGCGCCCAATAGTGCCTCCGATAAACCCTAGAGAGCTTCTTCGCGCGGAGAGATCGCCGGCGGAGGACCTCCTCGCGAGAGAGGAACTGGGGCTGGTGGAGCGCCGCCGCCTCGCCGGAGGGGCCCTCGCCGACATCGGGTCGAGATTGGGGTTAGGGTTTGGATTTGGACGTTCTGGAGGATTTTGGAGCTTGATTCCGCTCGCATTCGCCGAGCCAGTCGGCATTTTCCTTTTTCGGAAATTTTCTTTCTTTGTTCTTTTTTTTTCTTTTTCTTTGGGAGCAGGTGAGAGAGAAAGAGGGGGTTATTTATAGAGGATTTGTTGGCGGAGGAGCTGGGTTTCTGTTGCGAGTTCAAAGGGAAAATACACGTGTTTTACAGATTGACCCTTTAAAAATTTATTATTGCATGGCGCGCGCATGTAAGTTAAGCGTAACTCAGCGCACGCAGGTAAATTGCTAATAGTCTTCCTCGTGCTAGTGTGAACACCGTGCAAAGCACGGCATATTTTTTTTCTCATTATAGAAATTCTGGTTTAACTGCTATAGTATTTTTTAAAATTTAAATTATTGCAATATCCCGTCTCTGCCATAGTGTTCCCTTGTGTTGTAGTAACGTTTTTTCAAAAACAAAGTATTCAATTTCATGTTTGCTACAATAATAATGCTACAGCAAATCTTAGATTCTCTCGTTTATATAGAGGAATAGATATGTACCTCTTTGATATTATTTAGAACTTTGCACCTTTGAACTTATATTTTAATACTTGTTTCCCTTTAATTCGTGAGAAGCGAAAGACTAATAGATAGCTTGGAACTGACAAGACTAAGACAAATTACCTCTAGACTAGAGTTCATCTGAGAAAAAGGAAAATCAGCTTACAGATGTGACTTTAAGAAACAAATTAAAAAGTGGTAATTAGTGATCTTTCACATGATTATTCGTGTGTTTTTGTTGCTTTCCGTTGGTTCTAGTTATATGTAATAAATGAAATCCCTTTACTTTTGATAAGTTTCCTTTCTATGAGGAAAATTACAAAATTCTCAACTCTATTCTGTAAATGCATATGCAATTTTATGTCTTAATTACAAAGATCTACAATCTAGATAGTTAATCTACTCTTTGAAATTTTAAATTTTTATCTACTTCTAAATCGGTCTATTAACTGTCCTAAAAATGTCTAATATTGTATATTTCTGAAATATTACTTTCTAATATTGTAATATTTCTAAAGATTTTTTTAACCCAAAAAGAATACAGTCATTCCAAGAAACCCTTGGACTAAAAAATTCACCCTTTTATATTTTTATTATTGTAATTAATTTTATGTAGAAAATATTGTTAGGGTTCTGGTTTTGAACCTACACTCTTGTTTTGTTTTGATGATTTTACAAACAATTTATAACTAATTTTGTTTCCTAGTGATTGTGGCTTATTACAGGTTTATATCAGAGTTAAAGATTCAGATCAGCCATGTTTACAATCACTTAGGTATTATTGTATATATCGTGTGTTATTTTCTAAGCTCAATATATATTTATACACACACAGTTGTTTCGTTTCGTGAAAACAATGTGGCTTTGGTTTAACATCATGTTTACATTGTATATTGTTTATAAAAACGTTTTACAAAAGTTTTGCAATACACCTCTTTATCAAAATCAAATGTATATGTTTACATATTTACACATATATGTGCACATTTGCTAAAACGATGATCTTTAACAAATGGAAAATGTAATTTCCAAAATTTCTACACAAATATGTTTAATATCATGTTTATAAACTATTCCCAAAGTTTTACAATTTTTAGAATTTATTTGATATTTTTTAACAAGGTTCAAAGTTAAAATTTTCTGTGTACATGTTTATGAGTCGACTGATGAACAGTATTGAGTCGACTCACAAACTGCTGCGTAGTTTACAATTTGTTTCTGATAAGTCGACTTACAACATCATGAGTCGACCCATCAAATTGAGTCGACCCATGCCTGTCATAAGTCGACTCACAAACTGTGCTGGAAAATGAGTTTGTTTCTGATGAGTTGACTCATGATCTTATGAGTCGACCCATGGTTTATGAGTCGACTCATGAATTTTATGAGTCGACCCATAAGTTGGTTTTTAGCCTCTAACGACTACTTATGAGTCGACTCATGAACAATACTGAGTCGACTCATAACACTGTAACAGCTACTTTTAGTTTTTGTCTTCTTCTGGCTTTTGGTCTTTTTACTTGGGTTCTTGCTGATGTTTTGGGTTGTTATAAATACCCCCAATGCATTTAACATTCTGACCAACCTAGAGATTTGTTTAATTAAGTTTACAAGTGTTTAAGAGGTGTTTAAAGCCTTGTTTCAAGTTTTGTTTCAAAAGAGAAGTTTTACACAAAGAAGAAGCTTTCAATTTCAATTGAGGAATTCATCATCATCATCATTTCTTCAGTTCTTTGTGTTTATAGAGATATTTTTCTAAACTCTTTTATATAGTTGATTGATTGTCAATTTCATATTTATATCTTGCTATATTAAAATGAGGTAGAATTTCATTGTTCTCATTTATCACACACACCCTTATTAAGCTTAGATTATTTCATACAATATATTAGTGGGTATTGATGTGTGAATTAGTGAGAGTGAGCTTCATTGTGTTCTCATTCATTATAGAGAACAAAACATTATATTTGAGCTTATATTGTGAGTATCACTTGTAATACATTTGTACACCGAGAAAAGTGTGTGGTGAGAAACGGGGTCGAATCCAAGAGGAGTGGCGTCGGTTGACGAACCTAGGAATAGGTTATATCCGAGAACTTGAGGAGGAGGACACGGGCTAGAGACCAACACTTAGTGCGTATAGTGTGATTGTATAGTGATTGATTGTGAGAGTTTTCAGTGAGCTTGAAAACCGAGTGTGTAGAAGTTCCGACTTCCAAACTGGGTTGTGATAGTGGAGATCTCCTTGAGGTGAGGAGCGGGGACGTAGGTCGTGGGGACCGAACCTCGTAAACATATTATGTGTTTGTGTTTGCTTGGCGTTCATTTTTATTTGTGCTCACATCATATATCTCTTTATTGTGTCACATTTATTTACACTTGTGTTTATATATCCTTGCATATATTTCACCATATAGGATATATCTCTTTGTTCATATTACATATTTTTGTTCATAACATATTGTATATCTATCTTGTAAGAATAATTTATTAAATAAGTTTTAATTGGCATAAAATCGGATTAGATTAGCATAATACCCTAATCACCCCCCTCTAGGGTCTAACAAATATTTACTTTGTAACTTTTTGATTTTAAATTATTGCGTTCAAGGAAAAACTATTTGTTAAGATTTTAAACTTGACAGGATAAATCTATCTGTTAATTTGGTATTAAAGAGAACTCTGTATGTTTGATGATCAGATTTACATGATATATACACAATAAGTAGCCCATATACACAATCAGTAGTAGACACACTAGGAGGCGGCTGAGACAGCTAGGAGGCAGCTGAGGCGGTTAGGCACACATAGGGTGGCTGATATTATCTAACACCCCCTTCAAACTCACGTTGGATCGAACACCGAGAGTTTGGACAAGAAATAGCAAAACGCAGAAATAGTTTGAGCCTTGGTAAATAAATCTACCACTTGTTCCTTAGAGGGAACATATGAGAGTGTAATATTTCCAGCAACATGCTCCTGTTGTACTACATAACAATTCACCTGAATATGTTTGGTACGCTCATGAAATACTAGATTTGTAGAAATAGAGATGTCACTCTGATTATCACAGTATAAAGTGATAGAGGAAGTAATAAAGACATTGAGATCTCTTAGAAGAGTGCGGAGCTATTTGAGCTCAAATGTGGTGTCTACCAACGCTCTATACTCAAACTCTACACTAGAACTAGAGACAACGGCTTGACACTTACTACACCAAGAGATGAGAGATGAACCTAGAAAAATACAAAAGCTAGTAGTTGAACATCGAGTGTCTACATCATCAGCCCATCCAGTATCAGAATATGTACGAAGACACAAAGACAAGTCTGAGG